CAGAGCAGATCAAAATTTACAGATCCCAGTTTTCTACTTTCTCCCTGATTCTTGTTTCCATTCCACCTTCTTTCCCAACCCTTCTGAATTGTGTCCTTAGGTAAATGGTGCCTTTTTGATATTGAGAGGTTAACCATTCCTTGGTGTGCATTCGTTACATGTGTTGTTGGTCCCTCTATATACCTATATACTTCTTGACTGAAAATTGAGCTGCAGGGGTGAGTTCAGTTCAAAATCTGAAGGGTGACCTAAGGCCTTAGTCTCAGGTTCCTCCAGTCTCTTTCTGACCAGTAAACTTGGTCTTGTTAAAATAATTTTGAATTTTGTTCCACATTGTCTAGGTGGAACTATTGTGATCCCTTTCAGATCACTTGGGAGTGGTAGTGGAGCCCCCTCTAGACCTTCTGGTCTCTGGGTTGTAGAGGCTGACGTTCACAGGATCCATTAGTCCATTAGACTAATGGATTCCAAGCATCTTCAATTTCATCACTCTTCTTTCCTCCACACAGGGAGAGACCAATAGTTGCATTTCAATGGCCATTCATGAGCTCTTAAGAGTCCAGTCACTACTTACCAAAGTAATTTTGTATTGTTTTTGTAGCCTCTTTTATGCCAGTTGACCATGATATCCTCTGAGACTATGGTCCTGAGCTCTCAGGTCCAACAACTGACTCCACCAGGTGTTTGGTAATGTCTAAAAAGTTTTCATAATTTTTCCACATTCATGGATATGTTTACAGCAAAGGTAAATGGTGGGTGGTAGTGGTTGTGTGCCCTTAAGTTGGCTCTGAATCATAGCTACCCAGTATAGGGTTTCTGAGACTGTAAATCTTTACTGGAATGGAGTGACTGGTGGACTTAGATTCCTGACCTCACAGTTAGCAACCCAAGGCGTAACTTGCTCTTTTGCATTCTATTCCCCTTCCCTCAGTGTGTTTTAATTTGGGTTCAAGTTTCAAGTTGTTGTTAAATACTGTTCAGTCAGTAAGTTACACATTTGGTTCACAGTGTACAGTGCCATCAAGTGCAAGTAGTTTATTGGTAAATACAGAAAACAATCATAGTGGCATGGGAAGGTGAGACAGAGAGGAATGATTCTTTAGTGAGCCTGAGACAACTGTAAACAATTGGAGTTTAATCCTGAGAGGAAACAGTGCAGAACACTCACCTCAGAGTTATTCCATCTGAGGAAAAAGGAAACTAGAATGTTGATACATGAACTCCTTTTAGTCTTTGGTTGAGGACTGCTTCCAAGAAGTTCATTTCCCAGAGCAGCCTACAGCCTTCCAAGGTTTTGGAGGAAGCTTTTAGGCAGAGATGTGGATGCTGACAGAAGAAAATCAGTTAGTGTACAAAGCAGTAAGGCCTAAGGAATGTGAGCACATTACCAAGGAGTGAGCTCTGCCATGCCTCCAATTCCTGTTAAAATGGTAGACCTATTGAACACCCTTATTTTATATAGGCTCCTTCTACATCTTTACTTCAGGGAGTGACTCAGTGTCTTGACTTTTCTATGAATTACCTGGCTCCCTTATTTCTCTTGATGGCACCCAGTGATTTCTACTTCATGGTGTGGTAGTAGTGTACCTACATGTCTTATGTTTTCTACATGATTTAAACTCCTTGGGTGCCTTAGGTATTACCTTACAAATCTTTGTAGCCATCAGGGTACTTGGCATATAAGACAAATGCTAGGTTAATATGTAAGTATTACCATTCCCCATCTTTTTTCCAAACAGAAGAAAGCCTTTAGCCTCCTGAATTTCAACTTAACATCATTCAGGATAGTGTCAGAAACTGTATGGAATTCCTAGATGTGCCCTAAAATCAGGACAACAAGGATATGTCTTTTTCTTTCTTTTTTTATTTTTTTTATAGAAACTTTTAATTTGAAGTATTGTAAGATTAGTTCTAAAGACTAATAAATTGATTTTAAATATATTTAATAAAGTACATTTGTGAGGCATGAAGTTGTGCATATGTTGGACTTGTCAATGTCATTTTCAAGTAAAAAGTTTATGTAGAAAAAAAGGTCTATAATACCCACTTGACCTGGCTTCAATGACTGAGTGATCTGAGCTCAACTAGAAGAAAAAAGAGGAAAAAAAAGTGTAATCTGATATAATTTGATGAACTTGACCTACATCTCTATGGATGTAGTAGCTCAAAAGAGGGAACAAATCTTTACAGCACGGGTCATTCCTACCCTCTCCATACACAGGGATGGGCAACTTGGACATTGGCTACCCAAAGTAGGGGTGCTACAAAGGCAAGAAGTGATTGGTTTACAAGCTTTCAAGAAGGAACCTAGATCCAGAGGACGTGGAGGAAGGTAGAATCTCTACTGAGTAGTATCCAATCTGTCTAGGCAGGGCTGATGAAAGGAACTGAGGATAGGTCTCTTGTGATACAATGGTGAATAATTGTTATCAGGACTGAGTGTGAGGGTTGGAAATGTAAAGGTAAACATTTTGTAGCAAGGAGGCGAGTGATTAACTTTGCAGTCTAGGAGTGGAGGTCCCTGGGACCATCAAGAGAGAAGAGCAGAGAGCAGCACTCTACCCAGAGAAGCAATGATGCCAGAGATGGAGGCAGAAATGATGATGTGGAAAGATGGAGTGGCTGGAGACTTTAGACCCAGAGAGGAGAGGGGCTGTGTGCTGACGACCATGGGGCAGGCTGGCAGGGTATGCCCTTTGGTTGGTTGATGATGTATGGAGGGGATTGTAACCATGGCAATGAAACAATATACGATAGGATGAATATAAAACTAATGTTCTCCCATATAAACTATCACATAATTCACAATAAAACATTTTTAAAAAGGTCTTTCCTTTTTCTAAGAAAGTACACAGATGGAGTCAAAAGGCAGTAAGTAATGCTGACTTTAATGTAAAATAAAAACACTTCTGTGAGTCTTTGGAAACAAATGAACTCTCAGAATTGCTCACTTATTGTTTCTAGACAATCTGTATATGAGTCCTAATTAGACTAACTCAGGTATAGTGTCCTATGTTCTTGTGATCAAGCAGTTTAAAGCTGTCCCATAAAAGGGGATTGCATATGTCCCTGGTGTGAACTCATGGCTAGGTTGGCAAAGGCTTCCTGCATAAAGATGTCAGCTGTTAAGTGCCTTCTCATCAGTTCTGACCCATAGTGACCCTGTATAGGGTTTCCGAGGAGGCACTTAACAACAATCCCATGATATGAAGTCTGGGTGTGGCGCCACAGTTTAATGTGTTGGACTGCAAAGGTGGTTTGAACCACAAGGTTGGCTATTCAAGCTCACCAGCCTCTCCTTGGGAACCCTATACAGGGGTGCTGTGGGTCAAAACCAACTCAACGGCACTTAACAACAACAACAGCAGTTCCCATGCTGAGATCTAATATAATGTAATCATTTCCATAATGAAATCTGCTATGATGATCTATTGAAAGAAAGTTTCCTCAGGGGAATGACCTGTAGCTTCTTTCATCTTACAAAGGAGAGAGAAATGAGCAAGAAAGAAGAGCTTGGAATGAATGCATCTTTTGGACCTGGGTCCCTGTACTACAAAGCTCCTAGATCCAGGGGAAGATTGATACCAAGATATATGGAGATCTCCAAGGAATGTTGGGCCATATCCCAAAACTAGACAAGGACCATTCCCCAGAGTTGATAGGGAGAAAGGCTTCTTCTAGATTGAGCACTTGGATTTGGATTTCTAGCCTAATTTGTGAGAGAATAAATACCTGTTTGTTAAAGCCATTCACTTGTTAAAGCAGAACTTCATAACTAAGTCAAACCATGATCGCTTTATCATTTTACTTTAAAGACACAGTGAGTAAAGGACAGAATTAGTGGACCCTTCCTTAAGATGTTTCAGAAGCTGAGAATGTCCTTTGTGTTTGAGGGAGAAAATACTGAGATATCCTGCCCCTCTGATCTGTAAGTATTTTCCTAGAATAGGAACAATTGATACATCTTTGAAGTATTCAACAAGAAGCTATAGCTAGGGTAGCTAATGAACAGAGTCATTCTGAAATTAAATTCTGTTTGTAATCCTAGTCCCATTTTACCAATGAAGAAAGTAGAGGCTTCAAAGTTTAATATGTTCATTAATCCTACAGTAAGTGGTGGAGCCAGAAAACGACAGATTCAAGCTCAGGTCTGTCTGATTCTAAAAGCCATGTATTTTCTGCCATAGAATTGGAAAGACACAGATTCCATGTTATAGTGACCTATGACATCTTTAATTAATCCAGGCTCAGGAGAGATGAGATATCCTCTGTCAATGAGAAGAGGGTCATTCTTTAGATTGCAGCTAAATAAACTGGGGGAAGCATGCCTTGTTCCTGTTAGTGGTGGTAATACATTCCCCTATACATGGGTCAAAAATCTTCATGAGTGAGAGGCTTAGGGAAGACTTTTTCCCTCTAAAACAGTTCTTCACTGATGTTTTATGTCGCTCTGCCTTTGACATGAGTTATGAGTTACAATTACTATTTCTGTTTAGAACGCCTACTCTTACTTATTCACAGAAATATATTCTGGCAGAATATTCTATGACCAGTGTCTCAAACTATCTCTCCCCATAAAATCCTCTGAGGTACTATGAAGCCATTTTTATCAGGGATTGAAAAACCTATAAATCAGTTCAACCTTCTTCCCCTTGGCTGCCAGCTGCTTTTCAAACTTTTCTTATCTCACTCTGCTGACATAAACTAAATATAGCAAGCAGATTCTGGTCTTTCTTATACCTATACACTTTGGCCCCATTCACATCAGTAATGACGTCTTACAAAGTTCATGATAGGCCCTACCCCTTCTACCCACCCACTCTCCTCCAATTACTCTTCTTATTAGCCAGTGAACCTTTTGATTTGCAGAATTTGCTGTGTGGTGCCTTTTGAATATATGCCCATTTATCTTTATCGGGTTTTTTTCATCTTTATAGATAGAAATACATTTATAAATAAATATAAGTATTAAATACAACTTGTTTTGTGTGTCCAAACAGTACATCCTATCAGGTTCTGATGACTTCAACCTGTACATGTGGAGAATTCCTGCAGATCCAGAAGCAGGTGAGTGTATCGTGTAGTTGGTATTAATGTTGGCTCAGAGCCTTGATGGTACAGCGGAACCCTGGTGGTGCAGTGGATTAAGTGTTGGAGTGCTAACCAAAAGGTCAGCAGTCAGATCAATAAGCCACTGTGCAAGAAGAAGATGTGTAAAGACTTACAGCCTTAGGAACCCTATAGAGCAATTCTACTCTGTCCTGCTGAGTCAAAATGAGTCAGAATTGACTCCACAGCAGCAAGTTTAAGTTTTAGAATGTTGGCTCTGTTGACCTTTGGCATGTTGTGGCCCTAAAAGGACAGATCTCTCCCAATCGAGAAAGAGGTTTCTCTTATATCAATAATAAGCAGTGTGTCAGAAAAATGACCAAAGGAAATTTTAAAATAAAAATTTGAAGTTAGATTTAACTGTAGCCTTCACATATCTAGCATGTGTTGCTCAGATTGTATCTCCTAAGAAGCTAGTTTTGTATCTCATTGTTATTGTTGTTAAGTGCCGGGTCAAGTCATTTCCAACTCCTAGCAACCCAGTATAGGGTTTCTGAAGAGTGGATGGTGAGTTCGAACTGCTGACTTTGTGATTCAAGCCAACCTTTTAGTTCAATGCTTATCCTACAGCACCACACCATAGATGGTTCTTATATCCATTTTACTCTTTCCTTGTATTTCACACCTGGAATATTTTTATCTGGTAAATACTTTTCCTGTTCTTGTATTACCCATCTCCACATTCTAGATTCTTACTCTGCAAATAAGGAGCTCTGTTAGCATAGTGGTTATGAATTGGGCTGCTAATCTCATGGTTAGCAGTTTGAAACTGCCATTGGTTCTGCGGGAGAAAGATGAGGCGTTCTACACCTCTAAACCCTATACAGGATTGCTGTGAGTCTAAATCGACTCTACAGCATACCACCACCACCGCCACACTAATAATTACTGGTGATTAGAATGCAAAAGTTGGAAATAAAGAAGGATCAGTAGTTGGAAAATATGATCAAAAATATGGCGATACAAACTATGTGGGAGATCACATGATAGAATTTTGCTAGACCAGTAATTTATTAATTACAAATACCTTTTTTTCAACAACATAGTGATGGAATACACAAGAATCAAACTGACTGTGTCAATGGAAACAGATGATTGATGTTGGTGTTGCTCGGTGCTCTTGTTAAAAGTACCCTGGACTGTCAGAAGAACAAACAAATCTGTCTTGGAAGAAGTATCCGTAGAATGCCCCTTAGAAGCTAGGATAGCAAGACTTCATCTCTTATACTTCGGACGTGATCAGGAGGGATGAGTCCCCGGTGAAGGACATCATAGTTGACCTTATTCACAACAGAATGAAACACCACCCATTGTTACTACGCTTGATCCGATTGCTGCTGCCACTGTGCCAGTCCATCTTGTTGGGGCTTACCATCTTTTTCACTGACCCTTTACTTTACCAGACATGATGTCTTTCTCCAGGGGCTCATCCTTCCTGATAATGTATGAAGTATGAGAGATGAAGTCTTGCTATCCTGGCTTCTGAGGAGCATTCTGGGTATACTTCTTCCAAGACAGATTTGTTTGTTCTTCTGACAGTTCAGGGTACTTTCAATATTCTTGTCCAACACCATAATTCAAATTCATTGATTCTTCTATGGTCTTCCATGTTCATTGTCCAGCTTGCACATGCAAGGCAATTGAAAATACCATCACTTGGGTCAGGTGCATCTTAGTCCTCAAACTGATAGCTGTTGCATCATATTTGCCTAATGCAATAAATACCTCATTTGATTTCATGAGTGTTGATTGTGGAACTAAACAAAATGAAGTCTTTGACAATTTCAGTCTTTTCTCCATTTGTCATAATGTTACTTATTAGTCCAGTTGTAAGGATTTTTGTTTTCTTTTCTTTGAGGTGCAGTCCATACTGACAGCTGTAGTCTTCTTTATATAATCCAGCTTCTTGGATTATTTGCTCAGCATACAGATAGAATAAGTATGGTGAAACAATACAACCCTGGTGCTTACCTTTCCTGATTTTAGATCATTCAGCATCTCCTTGTTTTGCTCAAATGACTGCCTCTTGGTCTATGTACAGGTTCCTCATGAGCACAATGAAGTATTCTGGAGTACCCATTCTTCATAATGCTATCCGTATCTTATCATGATGCACAGTCAAAAACCTTTGGATAGTCAATAAAGCATAAATAAAATCTTTCTGGTGTTCTCTGCTTTCAGCCAAGATCTGTCTGACATCAGTATTATTACTCCTCGTTCCATATCCTTTTCTGAATCCGGCTTGAATTTCCGACAGTTCCCTGTTGAAGTACTGTTGCTGCCCTTTTTTAATTACCTTCAGTAAAATTTCACTTGCATATGATAATAATGATAATTGTTCTAAAGTTTCCAAATTCTGTTGAGTCACCTCTCTTTGGAATGGGCATAAATATGGATCTCTTCCAATCAGTTGGCCAGGTAGCTGTCTTAAACAAATTTCTTGCATAGATGAATTGCTGCCTCTAGTACTGCATCAGTTGAAAGATTTCAATTTGCATTCTCTTAATTCTTGGAACTTTGTTTTTCACCAATGCCTTCAGTGCAGGTTGCATTTCTGCCTTCAGTACCATTAGCTCGTGATCATATATGCTACATCTAGAAATGGTTGAACGTCAACCATTTTTGGTATAGTGACTCTGTGTGTTCTTCCATCTTTTCTTGACACTTTTTGCATCATTCAGAATCCTTCAATATTTCAAGTCGAGACTTGAATTTTTAATTCAGTCCTTTCAGTTTGAGAAATGCTGATCGTGTTCTTTCCTTTTGGTTTCCTAACTCCAGGTCTTTGCACATTTCATTATAATACTTGACTTTGTTTTCTCAAGCTGCCCTTTCAAGTTTTCTGTTCAGCTATTTGACTACCTCATTTCTTCCATTTGCTTTAGCATCTCTATGCTGGAGAACAAGTTTCAGAGTCCTTTCTGACATCCATTTTGGTCGTTTTCTTTCTTTCCTGTCTTTTTAATGGGGTTTTACTTTCTTTCTATATGATGTTTTTGATGTCATCCCACAACTTTTCTGGTCTTTGGTCATTGGTGTCTAATGCATCAGAATTGTTCTTGAGATATTCTCTAATTCAGGTGAGATATGTTCAAGGTCATATTTTGACTCTTGTGGACTTGTTTTAATTTCTACAGCGTCAGTCTAAACTTCTACATGAGTAATTAGTCTGTTCCACAGTTGGCCCCTGAATTTATTTTGGCTGATAATATGAAACTTTTCCAAAATCTCTTCCCACAAATGTAGTCATTTTGATTCTTGTGTATTCCATCTGGTGAGGTCCATGTGTATAGCCCTCTTTTATTTGTTTTAAAAAGGTATTTGCAATGAAGAAGTCATTGGTCTTGCAAAATTCTGTCATGCGATCTCCAACATCATTTCTGTCACCAACACCATATCTTCTAACCACTGACCTTTCCTCTTTGTTCCAACCTTCACATTCCAATCACCAGTAATTATTGATACATTTTGATTACATGTTTGATTAATTTCAAGCTGAAGAAATTAGTAGAATTCTTCAGTTTCATTGTCACTGGCTCTAATGGTTGGTGTGTAAATTTGAGTAATATTGATATTAACTGTCCTTCCTTTTTGGCATATGGATATAATCCTATCACAGAGAGCGTTGTACTTCAAAATAAATCTTGAAATACTCTTTTTGTTGGTGAATGCTGTGCCATTCCTTTAGAGTTTGTCACTCCTGGCATAGTAAAGCATATATTTTCAGATTAAAAATGGCAATACCAGTCCATTTCAGTTCATTAATGCCTAGGATAGTGATCTTTATGCTTTCTATTTCATTTTGACAACTACCAATTTTCCTAGATTCATACTTGGTGCATTCTGTGTTTCAGTTATCAACGGATATTATGAGTTTTGTTCTATCAGCAAATGAAGGTCCCCAAAACTTTATTTCATTTGTTTCTTATGATTTTGAGGAGGCAGCTCTTTCCCAGTGGTATTTTGAGTGCTTTCCAACCTGAGGAACTCCTCTTCCAGCATGGTATCTGACAATGTTCTACTGATATTAAGAGATAATAGAGAAGTTCAATACTATCAGTCAGAGCAAAGCCTGGCTCCAATTGCAGAACAAGCCATCAACTGCTTATATGCAAGTTTAAGTTGAGGATGTAAAAAAAATTAAACAAGATTATGATAAAATACCAATTGAGATGTTTCAACAAATGGAGCTTGCTCTGAATTGCTCACTTGTGTATGCCAAGAAATTTGGAAGGCAGCTACTTAGCCAACCAACTAGAAGAAATCCATATTTATGCTCATTCTAAAGTGATCCCACAGTCTGTAGAATTTATTGGGCAGTATCATTAATATCACATGCAAGTAAAGATCTGTTGAAGATAATTAAAAAATGGTTGTATCAGCAAGGAACTGTCAGAAATTCAAGCCAGACTCAGAAGAGGATGTTAAAGAAGAGATACATTACTGATGTCAGATGGATCTTGACTGAAAGTGGAGACTGCCAGAAATATGTTAACTGTGTTTTACTGACTATCCAAAGGCATTTGACCATGTGTAGTATAACAAATTATGGATGACATTATGAAGAATGAGTATTCTAGACACTGTACATAGAGAGACTGCCATTCAGTTACAGCAAGAGGATACTGAGTGTTTTAAAATCATGAAAGGTATGTATCCAGGTTGTATTCTTTCACCATATTTAATCAATCTGTATGCTGGACAAATAACCTGAGAAGTTAGAGTGTATGAAGAAGACTGTGGCATCAGGAGTGGAAGAAGACTCATTAATCACCTGCAATATGCAGATGACACAACATTGCTTGCTGAAAAAGAACAGGACTTGAAGCACTTACTGACGAAGATCAACGACTATAGTCTTCAGTGTGGATTATAACTCAACATAAAGAGAATAAAAATCCTCACAGCTGGACCAGTAAGCACCATAATGATAAATGGAGAAATGATTGATATTGTTA